TTTTTATTTAGAGTTGATTTGTGATATTTATTTATTTATTTATTTAATAACATGACATACTTATCTAATATTATGTTATGAGTGCAAACTTACATTTTATGTGGCATTATAATTAAAAAAAAGATTCATTTATATATAAGTGTTACATATTATACTTATAAAAAATTTTGATTATTTATCTTTTTATTTTTTAATTATTCAGATTTATTACAATTTTTTAAATAAAAAAATAATTATTTTTAATAAATATATATACCTCAATTATTAAAAATTAAAATAAATATTTAAAATTTTATATAAATATAATGTATAAAAATTATATGAGTATTTCCCCATTAATATAATTATAATATTATCGAATTTAAGAAGATGGGAGTAAAAAGTTACTAAAAGAACTTGTCAGCTACGTCCGAATTCGAATTTCATAGGCCGGCCGATTCCTTTTTCGACCCCGATTCCAATTTCAAACTAGCCCTCACCAAACTCTAACCTAAAACGCGCCAAGCAGCCTATCCTGCCACGTGTCAATAGTCCAAGTCTTCTACGTGGCGACAATCTAATGGACCAGTGTACCTCATTATCAGCTGGCCCTTTACTTTGTTGCGTTTCGGTTCCTAACGTCTCTTAAAAGTTTCTTCAGATCCGTTATCAACGGTCCAATTTTTAAAATTGAAATTGTCTTTTTCTATTTACTTGTGGGTCAATATTATTTTAAATCCTGAATCGTTAGAGTTACTTGCAAATTCATACCCAAGCTTTCAAACCTTAGCAATGGTTATAAATCTTTTAGGACCTTGGAACACAATCTTTTCTAAATTCTAAGTCCTATGAAGCACATTGGATGATTCAAACTTGTAACAAAACAAATTTTTAAATTTTAACTTGAAAATAAGAAGTGAATACATATAATTTATATCTAATATTGCACGCTATTAAAATATTTTTTAATATAATTAGCAAGTGCAAACAAAAGATATCCTATTTATGATGGAAGGCTAGTATTGCAAAGTTTATCCAAGCAAGAAAACAACAATGTCATTTTATCTAGTATATATATAATGATGAGTTATATAATATAAAATAATTTTTTTTTAAATCTTTCCTATTTATTTTAATATTTGAACCCAAGACTTTTTATTTGAAATCTTAATCGCTTACAAGTTGAAACACTCTTTAGAGCACATCTTGTCTAAATTAATGAACTTATGGAACGAAGGAATCATATTTACCCAAGGTTTTTTAAAAGGTTGAGGACTCAATTGCTAGTTTTATAGGGCCTAGGAGGACTTTACAAACAACCTAAAGATTAAGGACCAACAATACCCTTTATTTATTATATACTGTAACTTTACTGCAACACAACTAACAATCATTATAACAACGCGTTTTCGGAAAGAGTAAATTAATGGCAAGAATCGCTCTCTAATACGCGTAATTTGCCTTTAAAAGAATCCAATTTTCTCTCCAACATTTTCTCGGGAAACAAATACTCCGCACCACACAAACATTTCCATTTCCCCTAAATGCCACCTATTTGCCCAGGATTTTCCTCCTCTACAATCTTGTTCTCAATTCAATCCTCTTCTATCTGCTCCCCAAGTAGTTGAGAGCCTTCCTCCCTCCCTCCTGGTTCCCGCACCAACCCAATCTCGTCGTCGTGTACCCCATTCCGTCTCTGCTGCAAAGGAAAAGAATGGACCCGACAGAGCTGAAACGCGTTTTCCAAATGTTCGACAGAAATGGGGATGGGCGGATCACCAAGAAGGAGCTCAACGACTCCTTGGAGAATTTGGGAATATTCATTCCGGATTTGGAATTAACCCAGATGATCGACAAGATCGATGTCAATGGCGACAATTGTGTCGACATTGACGAGTTCGGCGAGCTGTACCAGTCCATCATGGCGGAGCGGGACGAGGAGGAGGACATGAAGGAGGCATTCAACGTGTTCGATCAAAACGGAGATGGGTACATCACCGTAGACGAGCTCCGGTCTGTGTTGTCGTCGCTGGGGCTGAAGCAGGGTCGGACGATAGATGACTGTAAGAGAATGATAATGAAGGTGGATGTCGACGGCGACGGCAGGGTCAACTTTAAGGAGTTCAAGGAGATGATGAAGGGAGGGGGTTTCAGTGCCTTGACTTGATTAATTAATTAATAAATATAAAATTTTTGTAAATATTTTCGGGGGATAATATCAGATTTTTTATCCACCTCATGGCCTCGTGGCATTGGTGGGTTGTTGCCAAGTGCCAGACATGTTGCAGAGTGAGAATTATCTTAGGGAAGGAGAGGACCAAAGGGGAAACAGAGAGATTTAATGTGTTTTGGATTTGTGGGTCTTGGTTAATGATTTCCCAAGGGTTGTTATTGTTTTGGTTTATCTTTGTGATTCTTTCTCTTCTTTTCCAGTCTTATGCTGATGTGATCTTGTTATGATCTTGTTAGGTTTGGAGTATCTTGCTTTCAGCATTGAAATCTGACTCATTTGTCATAATTTCTACTTTTCTGTTTTTAAATTGGAATATAGATCCGAGATAATATTCGAAGTGCAGACGTGGATGTGTAAACCCTGAGGTAAAATGTGATTCTCGCAGGTTTTGCATCAATCTATTGAATCTGGCATGACAATTATATATAAGTGTCGAGACTAATTCGTTGTAAATGTTTATTGTTAATAAATTTTTATAATAATTATATATATATATATATATTATTATGGGTTGCTCATTAAGAAGAAATTGTCATTTTTATTTTATATTATACTATTTAAATTTAAAATTTTTTATTTTTATTAAAAGTAGATTAGAGATTATCATCAAGTTAATTAGATTGTTAGCATAATAAATATATTTAAATAAAGATTTACTTACATATAAATCTTATGTATTACATTTATATAAAATCTCAATTATTTATATCTTCATCTCTTTATTTTCAATAATTAAAATTTATTATGACAAAAATAATTATTTTTAATAAATATGAATAAATTTCACTATTGAAAGTAAAAAAAATAAAATTATTGAGATTTTATATAAGTATGGTATATAAAATTTATGTGTAAGTGTATCTATTATTATATATTAGTAAAGGTTGATATATAAGATTTGTATGTAATTTATATATAGGGAAAAGTGGATATCACTTTTTTACTCCAAAAAAAATTTATTTAATTAAAATTTAATTTAAAATGTAGAAATTTAATTTATTAAATATTGATATATAAAAATATATAATTAGTTTTTAAATCTATATATTAATATTTAATAAGGTGAATTTTTAAATTTTAAATTATATTTTTTTGTTTTCAAATATAAGAATCAACATTTAATAAGATAAATTGTTAAATTTTAAATTCAATTTTAATTAAATTAAACAACATTAATTATTTAAGGTTAAAACTCTAATTTTTTCTAAAATCAAGATTGTTACAAACTATCTTCATATACTAATTAGAATATAAATTTTTAAATGAACACTTAAAAAAAAATTAAAAAAAACAACCTGTCTTCACAATACCATCAACACAAATAAAATAAAGCCATATAAACAAGAAAGCAATAGAAAATTGATATCATATGATAGGACCAATTAAATTTGAGGTATCAAACTTAATTAATTAGTGAAATAATTTATCCTTATATTTAATTTGAAGATAAGTCTATCCTACCATAAAAAAAAAAAAGAGGATTTGGGAGGTTTGGCATTTGATTAGTTA